TTGTTCTGATCAACACACAAAACCTCACCAGCTTCAGTCAGAATGGACATTGTGAGGCCCTTAGAGATGGGCTTGGGACCTGGGACAGGAGAAGACAACTACTGGGGGCAGGTTTTGTGCATACCATAATTTCATTCTTTGTCACTCTGACAGGGGTAACTGAAAGCTTGCATCCAGAGTGCTACACTAACTGTACAAATTCAAACCAGAAAATGAGCCCAATTTCCTACAAGGCAAGAAGCATCATGGGAAAACCAAGCTGGCCTTTCCTTTGAAGGGCCTCAGTACACCCAGAAGTGGCATCTAGTAAATATGGCTAAGAACATAACTGGTGTCTCATCTTGGAGTTGTGCTCAGGGGCAGACTTACCTGCATGCTCACAAGAGATGGATATATATGATATCAGAAAGGCAACTGTTTTAACACAAGACCAACTTTTGGTTTGGAGACTCTATGAATGACACTTAATGAGTGTGTAATTAGAACAAGAGTTTAGATGATTTGAAGGTTAGGTAGGCTGATTATCATTCTGTGCACTTAATAGATTGAGTACTGTTTAAAATCTGTATTGGTGACAAAGATATAATAATTAATATAGTATAGTATAATATAATACAATATGACCAAGTATAATCCTTGCTCCATGCAGCTAACAGTCTAGCCATACAAGCAAATGCAGACAAACTTGGGGCTAATTCCAGTAGAGAGGCAGATATATGTGACTGTGTAGCCAAGCGGTTTTGTGTGAATGCACAGGGCAGGACAGAGCGGAACAGGAGATTATGGAACATTCTGCAACACTTCAGCTGCAGGCTGGGGGTGTACAAAGTTTCCATGTTAACAGACAAAAAGGCAATGAATTTGTGTGGCTGAATGTGATGGCTGAGTGATTTCCTGAGGGCCTGAGGAAGTGCAATGCCAAAGAAGGTCACGAGCTTGGTCACATGATCAGCACCACCACAGCTGTGTACTTTGCAGACCAAGTGAATTCCCAAGTCACTTTGGGGGTGGGAGGCTTGTTGGTGACTACTGTTCTGCTAATATGAGCTTTGAGAAGGTGGCCTGTGGGAGGGTTTGGCTGGAGTCTTTTCTCTCAGCCAGACTCTGAGGGCCGAGAGAAACATAATTGTTGGGACTTCTCTGGTAGAGTGGAGTGAGAGAAACACCAGTTATCAGTGCTGAATTTTAGCTGTGAATGAACTGTAAGGTCAGAGAAGTCTCCAGTTTTTAACTGTGTTACCTTGCCCGGCATGGCTACCGGTTAGGCAAGAGGGTGAGAAAGAAGCCACTGGCACCAGTAACTAATGTTTGGGAACCCTCCACATGGATTTGGCTCTTTACCACGCCAGTCACTTCCAAAGGCAGCTGCATAAATGGCAGGAGGACCTCTCATCTCCTCAGGGCAACCGAGATGCAAGGTAGTTCTCAAGTCCCAAAACAGCAAGACATTGTTAAAGCCTCCTGAAATGCAGTCTCTGTAATTTCATAACTAATTGATGTTTCATCCTGGACAAGTTCACACAACCAAGTCCTGGTAGCTCATGACAGCCATTTCTGGAGCCAGAGTTCTGGAACATACCGTGTCTGTACCAACTTGTCGAGGTGGAAGACTGTGTTAGAGAGATGGGTCCTGGAAAGCTTATACGGTATTTTGGGACCTCTGCGTTGGAAGAGGCACAGTGAAATCAGAGTGCCTTGAGGTATGTGTAGGATGTTTTGACCCTGCCATGCTGAACTACTGGATATTCTGACCACTCCCCAGGATATGTTGATTCTGTATTTATAGACAATTAGATCAGTTTTAGAAATACTGAGAAATATTTTTATCAATACAAACACAAATACTAATCTATTTAATTTTCTATGTAGTGTAACACCATTTTTATATTAACGTGTGTGTGTGTGTGTGTGTGTGTGTGTGTGTGTATTATATGTTGTGTGTTGGTGTGTATGGGTGAGGGCATGTACATGGCATAACATGAGTGTGGAGGTCAGAGGAGAGCATCCAACAGTCAGGCCTCACTTTGCACCTCATTTTGAAGCAGAGCCTCTCTTGTCTCTTTGTTTCCCCTTGTTCTCTGGGCTGGCCAGCCTGGAGCTTCTGGGACATTCTCTGCTTCCCACCATCGAGTTTACAGTGCTGTCACATCTGGGTTTTAGGCTTGAGCAGCAAGTGCTTTATCCCCTGAGTTATTTCCTGGCCTCTCTTCTATTAAGTTTTTCCTTCATAGTGGTTCCCCCACGGGCTTAATATATAAAGCTTACAAGGAATATTTTATGGATCAGAAAATTTCTTTTCATTCATATTCTAGCTTCTGTTTTGCCCAACTACAACTTATCACTGTCAGTTAGCTTTTGCAGGAAGTTCCTCCTTAGCCTGATTTCCCTGAGAAGCATTCCACATCTGTACCATCCTGCTCAGGTGACATATATTACAGAGAAGGGTCTTAGGTGTGGGTGCCCATAAAGATGGCGGCACTCCATCTTGGCACAATGGACAGAAAGCTGTCAGCAAGTCACAAGACGTAAAGGTCAAAGGTGTGGCTACAGAAGGATGTTTCGGCTATCTTAGTCTAAATAACAACAGACCTGAATCTGAGGTGTGGCTACTCCTGACTGTCAAGGCTAAGGAAGGAGAAGTTGAATCTGAGGTATGGCTACTCCTGACCTCAAGGCTAGGGAACAAGAAGGTGTGGTTATTGAATCCTTGGAATGAGTGAGGAAGAAAAGTCTGTTTGTTCCATACACATGATACTGTGTTCCACTTTTTAGTTATGGTATATAAGAGTGGTGAAAAATAAACTCGTGGCATTTCAGTATTGACTGATCTGCCCTCCTGACCTTTATTCTGTCTCTCTCTCTCTTCATTATCTATAGCTAGCTTTTCCCTCATCCATACTCCCCCACTCAGGTATGGACTTGGGGCCACTCGGGTGGCTCCAACTGCAGCCCTGCAAAGACTTCTCCCGACACTTAGGAAACTTATAGACTACTTTGGTACCACTGTACTGGAAAAGGCACCTTCAAAATAGCATTCCCAGGAAGATTCACTGACCTAAAATTCACTGTCAATCATTTTGAGCACACTGTAGCTTTTCTCTATAAGCTATGTTCACTGTGAATCAGTTGAAAACAATCATTACCCCACTCACTTGTGAGTGCATCTATATATGTGTCTGGTGGTGTGCCACACACCCTTACATTCATACCTAAAAATTTCCCCTATCTGCCCTAACCTCAGCCTCTTCCTGACTGTTGGAAAACAGTTTACTTTGTTTTCTGGCACTGAGAACTTATGGATGCTAATCATGTAAGTAAACCTAGGCTGCTATTTTTTAAAAATCTGTTTTGGCAGTTATTTTGATGATGCATATCCTGTTAGCTCTTGTTCTGCTCTTAACTTTCATCTTCTAACCTGGTGAATGATGTTTGATGACTAAGCATCATTAAAAGAGGTGGGGGGAAGAGAGAGAGGTGGATAGAGAGAGGGGGGAAGGAGAGAGAGAGAGAAAGAGGGAGAGAGAGAAGCCAGAAAAGCAATCTAACTCTTTTTCCTTCTTTACAACCCAAAACCAGACTGCAGCTGTTCTTGTTTTGATTTTGACTGGAAGCATTGATGCTGACAAGTATTTTTCCAGGAGACATTACAAAGTGGTCAGTTTGGTGGGCTGCTGCAGTAACATTTTTTTTTTTTAATCACTGTACAAAAAAAGGCTGAGAACATGCAATCATTTAATGCCAGTTTGTATTTTTCTAAGTCAGGATCCACAAATGCAAGATGGCGGCAAGGAGCATAACACAAGCAGGTCATTTGCATAGCACCTTTTAAACTGGAAGTGTCAACATGTCCCCACTCTGTGTATGTGTTGTACTAATTCATGCCATACTTTGTATTCCCTCCAGAGTGACTGATTCAAGACTGCATCAGCTATTTATCCAAAGATTCTCTAAGAATGCCCTGCCTATTTGGAAACAGCAATATTGAGATGGCACTTTGCACAAGTCCTTTTTCTTGCTGTTGTTTAAGCATGAGGAAATGCCAAAGGGGAGGGGGGCGGAGACCTGGAAACAAGCTTGGCTCCATAGGAAAGATTCCAGTGGAGAAGACGAAAGGTTTACAAGTTGGTCAGCCACGATGAAAATGAGTACCTCACACCCACCAAACTGATCTTGATTTACACACCCATTGCTTTGCAAATGGTCAATGAAATTACGTTACTAACTCAACAGTTAGACCATGACAGTTTTCCTTGTAAATGAAAGTCATTTCCATCTTGACTTTAACTGCTTGACAATCCCAGCAGACCCCAAGTACTGTACTGAAGCATGCATACATATGGTGAAGCCTACTTTCTTTAATAGAAGAAGAGAATTCAACCCTGTGGAACACCCACGAGTCATCTGGATTCCCACAGGGCATCAAGAATCTTGGACAGACCAAAGGGCAGTAGTGTTTAGTACCAGTGAATCTGAACAGGATCTTAGCATATGGAGGGAGAGTGGCGTTCATCTACTTGACGCATAATAGGTTTGTTGTCAACCTGACTTCCTGACTTGCACAATGGAAGCATTTCACGGTGCTTCATTCATATCCCATCCTCATCTCCTAGTGTGCCACAAGCTTCCTGCTCTAGACTACACACAGCAGCCTCCTCTTAACTCCCAGCTGCTCCACACCGACTTGCTGCAAAGGCTGGTGTTTACTGGCTTCCTCTAACAAGGCTAATGGTAATTTCTCTGGCTTTTAGCTTGAGATGGTATTATCTTGCTCCATCTGATTGGTGTTTTTTTTTTTTTTTTTTTTTTTTGGAATTTAGAGTCTGACATCCCAAGGATGCTATATGGACTGCCTTCCCTCTCTCCGTTCCGGTGAAGGTCGAAACTAATACTCAACTAGAGTCCAGGGAACTCAGGAAAGGAACCAGCCACAAAACTCCAGGCCATTTAGACATTTTGTTGGATGAACCACAATGAATGAGATAAATACCATACAATCAACATTAATGTCAATAATCTTTTTTATTACCTAAAAATGACAACCCAAATCACTTCAGTTCTGACCACGACAGAAACATGAATATCTCACTAAAATAAATACTAACAGGGTTGAGATGAGTGAGGCAGTTGCCTTGGGCACAAAATTTAGGGAGGCATTTTAAAAATCCCTCAGCAATCAAGATAAACGATATTTTATCGCAGTAGTTAAAAAAATGCAAAAAATTCATGATGAACAAAATACCCAATTTTTAAATAAAGGATCAGCCACAGTGCCTTGCTTGAGCCATCTTGGAACCTTAGATGAAAGCGAAAATAAGACAATTCCGGTTTTCACCTAGAAATTTGATTTTTGTGCGGCCTCCACCAGCTTTATCCTGGTCCCAAGTCTGCTAAGGAGAATGTGCCCAGCGTGGAGTAAATGGCACAGCCCTTCCCGCTTCAATATTAATTCAGAGGTACGAAACATGGGCAGGTATTGTCAAATTTAATTGCCACTCACCACTAGTCAACCAAAGACTGTAATCGTGGCCCTGCTCTGGCTGTCCTTTCAATTCAAAGGTGTTTCCTATCCGTCTTTTTTGGTTTTGCAGATGTCTTGTTACCAAAAGTCCATTGCACAACCCACCGCAGAACCCGCTTGGAAAAGCCCACCTGACTCATGCCGCCGTCAAAAGTTCCTCCGCCCGCGGTAGTTGCCCCGCGTTCTCTCCTTGCCAGTTTTGGCCGGAAGTTGCCTGTGGGTCTTCTTCCGGTACTCCACTTTAGTCCAGCCCCCTTCGCTCACCCTGCTCTCCTCCTCGCCTGCTTTGGAGGCAGCCTCGGGGTGCAGAGGCATCCCGGGGATGGTCCTGGGCACACGGCGGTCGTTCGGGTTCTTCTTGAAGTCAGGGGACTGATGAGTGTTCAGCGCTGACTGGGGAAACCTGTAGAACTTTCCAGAATACCTTTCCCGCGAAGGTGCAGAATGCTGACTTCTCCCACCGTACCTTCCCCTGGGGGAAGAGTTGAGGGATACACTCCCGCGGCCGTATTTGTTTCTGCTGCGGTCTGAGTAGCGGCCCCTCTCGGAGGAGCTGTCGGTGTTGAGGCTGGAGAAGCCGCTGTCCCTGGAGTTGAGGTGCAGGGAGGAGAAGTTTTTGGTCAGCCCGTACTGTGTCGGGGAGGAGCTCCTGGAAGGGTTGATGGGTGTGATCTGCTGGTACTTCACAGGCGTCTGTGTCCGCCTCACCGCGGCAGCATAGGAATCCTGGTTGGAAAAGTAGGAGTAGAAAGGGGACCCCAGGATGGGGTTGCTCTGGGAACGCTGTAGAGAAGTGTGGGATGCAATCTGCCGCAAGCGCAGGGTGTCTAACCATTGGCAGTCCGCACCTGCAGGGGAAATTGAAATGAGCATCTTCCATGCCACAAGCCTGAATCCCTAACTCATAAGACTGGCTCAGGAAAGCAGTCTCAAGGCTGCTTGGGAGCGTGCCATTCATGAAAGTTCCAGGCTAGGTAAATAGACCTTTCTCTTTACTACTAAGGTAAATTGTCTTAGGAACATGTAATGCGGTTGGCATTTTTCTATTTCTGCTGCCATGATTCCAACTGTATTAGGAACTTCACCTACAAGGAATGAGATACTAGCATCACAACACCGTCTTGCTGAACTGTTACTTCTCTACAGTTTTAGCTTCTGTGAGGCCTGAGTTTGAGCTCGTCTGCAGCCATGTGTGTCAAAGGAAGCTGGGCCTCTTCTGCCCATGGCAGACACACAGATGCCAGCAAAGGACCTGGTGTGGTCTGCTGGATCCTGGGAGGGCTGTTCTACCAAATATGCACCTGGTGCTTTCAGGAATCACTCTGTAGGACAGCCAGACACAGCAGCACTGGCTGTAGGCAAAGGCGGCACAGTGGTTATGGCAAGAAAGAAAGAGGTCATCCCTTAAGAGCTCATAGTCAAACTTATTTGTCGTACTGCCTCCAGAGCCTACATCAACTTTGGACTTTTAGTGATGGAAGACAATATATTTTACTCATTTAAATCAGTGTTTCAGGGATTTTGAGGGTTCCTTAAAATGCAGAGGGCTGGTTCTGGACCCCTGGGATATCTGATTGGTTTGTCTGGAGATGGGTCAGAAAGTGTGCATCTCTGACAGGGTCACAGAGGATCTTGCAGGACCAAACTGTGAGACCCACTGAGGTAAGCCAGTTGAAACTGGGTTTTCTGCTACTGGCAGGTGATTTCCCGTCTTCACATCACGTTGGAAGAGTGAGTAAAAAGAGAGTGGAGGAAGACAGAAGGGAGATGCACAAGCTGAAAACCGTAGGAAGCCGCATGCAGCTCTCCAGAGGGAAACAGTCTGGAGCAATTCCAATAGGAAGTGGAGGGCACTGAATTTTTCAGTGCACAGCTTTAAAGAAAACGTAATTTACTTTCTTAAAGACTCTGCTTAGAAGATGTAAAGGACACCAATAGGGGTCTGGGCAGTGTCCTGTTTTGGGAAGGGAACACTATGGTCACAATATGACCGACCCCTGCCCCAGCCTTGTGCTTTGTTACCTGCCACCATCACATCCTGGTGATTGGAGGAAGTAGCCCCATACATGATTGAAAAAAAATGTTTGTGACTCTCAGCATGGAAGAATTTGAACCATGTGCAACTTAGAAGTCACTGGCAGCCATTTTGTGTAATATAAATTTGGAAATGGGAAAACTAGCCTCACAGAAGAGAAAATACAGCAGAATTATAGAGTTTCACTGGCTTCACAGGGCAGTTATAGGGATCAGACAGGCACATAGTGCTACAGAAGTAAAATGTGCCCCACAATCATTAGTTATTAGAGAGAAGTCCTTCTCTTGTGGTCTCTGAGAACTTACTATATAGCCTATGATGACCTTGATCTTGCACTGGTCCTCCTGCTTTAGTCCCCTGGGTGCTGTGACTTCAGGGGTGATCTAACATACACAGCTAAAAGAAGTATGTAAAGGATTATAGCAGACATACCCGGGAAGATACACAGACTTAACACACATGAATGAGTTTAGAGGTAGTCACACAAGAATAACCTTAGCAGAATAGCATGCCCTAAAAAATGCCTGACAGGGTCTTGACAAAATCCCAAGCCTAACCTGGTGGTAACAATGTCCCCTGATGGTTATTTACAAAACAATATAAGCAAATAACCATCAGGGGACTCCGTTGACAAAGGTGATCAGACCTGGCATGATGTCAAATAATTTGTTGATGGCTTTTGAATGTCCTTCAGGATTCTGTCCATCCTGGCTGGTGGCCATCTAAGAATATTAGTTCTGCTTGGCAAGTCAGGTCTTATAGTGTCAACATAGACTGTCATAACTCAGTAACACTTGCCATTGGAGACAGTAAGTTAGAGTGTCACATGCCTTTGTCTCCATGCTTGACAAAGAGCCTTCTGGTATTTGGTTACAAAAATCCATTTCCCTTGGGGAAAAAGAAGTGTTGATTAGAAAGCAAGCATTTCCGGTGTGCTTTGTCTCATGGTTAAGAGGGAACTGCATTATTACTTTGTATACAGGCACCTTCAACATGTTTGTCTCAGTTCTACAGTTATGAGAGTTCCTGAGCCTACAAGTCGAGGATAAGAATCTTTGCTTGAGTTCACCAAATAATGGCCAATTTTGTGACCAGTCAGCTGACCTCCTATGCTTTTCTCAATTTTTAAAATTATTATCCCCAATATCTATCACATACATTGAAGCTTTTCGATTTACTGCCTCTCTTAAACTTTTTTTTTTAAAGATTTTATTTATTTATGATGTATACAATTATCTGTATGCATGCTTGTACACCAGAAGAGGGCACCAGATCTCATTATAGGTGGTTGTGAGCCACCATGTGGTTGCTGGGAATTGAACTCAAATCCTCTGGTAGAAACAGCCAGTGCTCTTAACCTCTGAGCCATCTCTCCAGCCCCCCTCTCTTAAACTTTTAAAATTATTATTTAGTGTGTGTGTGTGTGTGTGTGTGTGTGTGTGTGTGTGTGTGTGTGTGTGAGAGAGAGAGAGAGAGAGAGAGTACATGTCACATTTGTGTGGAGATTACAGGACAACATATACAAGTCAGTCAGACTTATGGGCCTTTCTATGCTGAGCCATTGTGCTGAACCATCTCATCATCTCCTTTCCACTTTACTCCTGTTTTGTTCATCCTTCTCCTCTCCCCAACTCCCTTCCTCCATCACTGCCATGCTTTGTCACTGGTATTCAAGACTCAAGAAGTCTTTGGATGTATGTCAGTTGGTAGAGTGCTTGCCTAACCCTGACTCCATCCCTAGCATCCCACCAAACTGGGTGTGGTGGCCCATGCCCATAATTCTAATACTTTAGAGGCAGAGCCTGAAGAATCAGAAGTTCAAGGTCATCCTCAGCTGTATGAACATAGTTTACATAAGATTCTGCCAAAATGAAAAAGAAATGGCAAGAAGTCTGGTGAGAGCAGTGGCTTTGTAGGAATGTGAGCTCCAGACTCACATCTTTATTTACAGATACACTTTCAGAAGCCAAACAAGCTGACCTTCTTGTCACTGCAGTGTAACATAGCTACTTTTCATCATTATAGTTATCCAGATACTAAATTTGTACGATGTGCTCACACTGATGTCTATAAATACAACTCCATAATCTACTTATAAAACCAACATTATGGGGTCAATATGATCAAAGTATATTGTACATATCTACAACATTCTTAAAGAATTAGGAACAACTTTGAAGAAACAGTATGGTAAAACTAAGAGGGAAATACTCTTAGACATCTTTGCCACCTACTGCCTGGCACTCTCTCTGTCATGGGAATGTCATAACTAACATTCTGGACTCCGGTGCAGGTGCTGTACTTGGATGCTAACTTACTTGAGTCAGATCTGCTGCCAGGGTTGCCATCCGAGTTGGAGAACACAGTCTGAATGGCAAGCTGGACGGCTTTCACTTCATCCTGAGGCTTTGTTCTATTCCACTGAATCGAGTGGACATGCTTAGTGAGTTTTGGAGTTCTAACATCACTCTGTTTAAAAAAAAAAAAAAGTTCAAGAAACCCACGGTCATTTGTAAAATGGGAAGGGAAAATGCATGTTATGCCATTTGCCTAAATTAGTGAATTTGAATAAAAAGGACATTTTAACCACTTTTCCCATAATGAACTCTATATTTTTTCCTTCTTCCTTCCTCTCTTTCCCCATCCTATACCCCTTTCTACTTATTATATTACAGTATTCAAAAACAGGATTGTTGCTGGGCATTGGTGGTGCATGCCTTTAATCCCAGCACTTGGGAGGCAGAGGCAGGTGGATCACTGAGAGTTTGAGGCCAGCCTGGTCTCCTGAGCTAGTTCCAGGACAGCCTCCAAAGCCACAGAGAAACCCTGTCTTGAAAAAAAAAAGTGTTTTCTTTTTTATATTTGGGAAAAAAAATGCTTTATTGACTAAATGAATCCTGACCCCTGTTTTGCTTAAGTGCACCTTTGGCCCAAGGGGACATAGGGAACAGAATGAAGTGAGGCTGTCACAGGTGAGTGAGGGGGCAGGTGCACGGTGAGAGGGGATGGAGGGTGAAGAGATCCAGGAGCAGGAGAGGTAGTAGATCAAGGTGACAGGCAGTGCTTACCCTGAAGAAGCCCTGATCACCAGATACTCCTTAGAGTACAGTCTCTTGGTCTGTGGGATAGCTCAGTGCAACACTGGCTTGGCATGTAAGTATTAGGAACTAGCAGCCAGCTGACCCTGCCCGACGATGGGCGGGACACTCATGGCCATGTCATCACTACGTCAAGCTTTACCTGGCTGCCAGAGGACTCAGTTATGCATACGCAAGCCCCCCTTTAAAGCAAGTGCGACAAGCGTCTCTCTCTGGCCCCCCCTCTCTCTCTGGCCTCTCTCTCTCTGCCCCCTCTTACTCTCTCTCCCTCTCTCTCCCCTTCTCTTCCCCTCTCTCTCTGTCTCTCTCTCTCTCCTGCTTTCGGTTGGCCACCAGCTAACCCCCTTTCTCTCCCTTCTCTCAATAAACTCCACGTGGGCGCTGAGTCTCATGTTTGTGTTTTATAGGCATCAGCTGCAGCAAAAGAACAATAAGTAGCCTTGGGTCCCCATAAAAAGCAGTCTCTAGGATTCAATACAGTTATGAAAATATGTTGTTAGTGGTACACACCTTTGACCCCAGCACTCAGGAGGCAGAGGTAGATGGATCACTGGGAGTTCAAGGCCAGCCTGGTCTACATAGCAAGTTGGAGACCAGACAGGGTTACATGGAACGATCTTGTGTCAAAAAAGAAGGGGAAGAAGAGGAGAGAAAGAAAGAAAAAAAAATCTTTAAAAACTGGAAAATGATTTATTATCACGGAGTCCAAGGAGGAGGAAGAGAAGAAGAAAATGAGAGAAAGGAAGGGGGAGAGAGAGGGAGAGGTGGAGGGAAGGGGAGGAGAGGAAGGGCAGTAAGAAGGAGAAGCAGCAAGAGGCAGGGTGTGGCCTGTCTGCAGACTTGTCTGCAGCAGACAGAGCTCTAACTGGTTAAAAGGGGACTTTTCCTGAGAGGCAAGGGCCAGCTAACAGGTATCAGTACTGCTGTCACCTATTGCCTTGCAGGCTGTAGAGTGAGGCTGACAGAGTGGGTCTCTGATTCTAAAAAGCTAGACTGTGGTAACTCAGAAAACCATCTCAAGGCAGCAGAATGCAAAATGCAGTCTCAGGGAGTCTTACTGCAGCCTCTGTGAAGTTCACGGGGGGGGGGGGGGCGGCAGGGAAGAGACACAATTTCCAGAGGGAAGACATGGGTGTGAGTACATCAACTGACACAGAGCATCCCTGAGCCTTTCTCTTTCCCAGCCTGTTTCCCTACTGCCAAATGAAGCATTGCCCATTTTTCAGTATTTACCTGAGGCTTGGAGACAGGGCAGGTATACTTGCCTCTTAACAGTCCCTGGTTGATGGTGAATCCTTAACTAAACTGCCTTAAATTAATGAAAGATACCCTACCAATGGAAGACATATACTAGTATCTTCAAATGTCCCCAACTCTGTGCAACCCATGCACACCAGCATGCATATACAAAGAAAGATGAATGCAATTTCTCTGAGTGTTAGGAAGGAAGATAACATGATAGAATTTGGGGTAACACTTCACCTATTCTTTCATTAGATAACTATCGATTGAACACAAAGTGTATATGCATGCTGGTATGTAATTCCCCTTCCAATAAATCCATGTACTAGCCTGTAAGCACTTGGAGAGATCAGAAAAATCCCTGCTCACTAATAGAGGGCGAAACTCCTAGCCTCTGTCTTCAGGGGCTCACCTCATATGTGACTGTGCACTCCACAGTCTGATCGGCCACTATTCCTATGATCCACTTCTCCATTACAAACGGTGGCTGAAACACAGAAGTCAGGACGGCATAGTATCAGAAGACAGCCTGTGCTGCCATGTGAGGTCAGTTGTGCCATACACAATTTGCAAACAGGGACAGAATATCAGGTTATCATAAAATCATGCTGTCTTACAACACACTTGTATCTTGGGCCTTGCTGTTTTTAATCATTTGCAATCGATATCTTTGACTGATGGGAGATGGTAGTCTTGATCTCCTATGGTTTTCTGTGTTATTTATTTATTTATTTATTTATTTATTTATTTATTTATTTATTTGAGATAGGATTTGGCTGTGTAGTCTTGCTTGGCACAGAGTTAGCTAATGATCCTGCCTTAGTCTCCCAAGTATTGGGATCATAGTTGCACCACCATATGGGTCCTCTGTCCTTTCTGGGATGTGGTTGGGAAAAAACTGATTTTTTTTTTTTTTTTCCATTCTGAGGAGCAAGTTAAGCATTTCTATTGGATTTTCTTCAGGGTTCCCAGTGACTCTGGACTAGTACCATGCTCTCCAAATACAGAGGAACTTCTGGTGGGAACTTACAGAAACTACAGAACCACAGCACATGTCCCACAAACAGCCTTATCCCAGTCCTTCTAGAAGCTCAATAGAGTGCGCTGGGGATGCAGCTCAGGGGTAGAACCACTGTCCAGCATGCACATTACCAGCAGTGAAGGTGAAAACATGAAGTCTTCATCATCACAAGCCTGTCTTTCAAAGTTTAACTCAGTCCAGTTTGAAGTAAATGTTTTCATTGATAACATTTTCTTTAATAAACAAAGAGACGTAGCATTAAAGAAAACTTAAATGATAACTTTTCTTGTTTGCAGTGCTTTTTAGTTCACACAGCATAAGTGGGATTTTAACAACAACAAAAAAATATTCTCTCAATCTGCTAAATAAAATGTGCCTTGCAAAAGGCAGCTTGAGAATGACCTGATGTGAGTGTCCAGGAGCACAGAAGCCCACTGCTGGGGTATTCTAATGTCTTTGTTTGAGATCTGTGAATTCAGAAGAGCTTTTGAGCTGCAAATAGACCCTTACCTTTGTCATCTTTAGAATCTCTGCATCAGGGAGGCCTGTGTTGAAAGTCACATCTTTTATGTAGGTTATTGCAATTTCATCCCCATCCATCTCCATATACATTTTCCATTTACAGTCCTGGAATTAAAAGCAAAATTACAGAATTGAGAGAGTGAAATCTCTTTTTTTTTTTTTTTTTTGTTTTAGTGTGTTATAACACCTAAAGTATTCTAAAATGAAGTAGTGTGGGAGTGTTTCATTTTTCCTTTTTCAAAAGAGGACATGAAATTAGATCCTTTTGTATATCTGATAACCCCCAGTTAGTGTAGCCTTGAGACATAATTGATCAGTTTGAAATGTTTTATTATAGGAGTTGCAAGCTTAAAATTCTAAAGGGGCCAGGCAGAAAATAAATGTGAGTAAACCCAGACAGTTACATTATGGAACCTTAAGATATAGCCTTTCAGAACAGATCCATGTAATATAAATATTAAATGTTACAAAGACATTTTATCATTGGTATAAAAATTGTATTTCTTCTTTTTCTTTTCTTTTACCATATAGTCCTCTTGATCCACCTACCTCCATTTCCTAGACCTGATAATGGTATGGGTTGAGGACTCAGCTCATTGTCCTCTTAAGGATGACAACAACACTGCAGATGTGACATATGGTAACTGACAGCAGAGTAATTATGGGAGGCATAGGAACCCTGGAGATCTGGGCAGTTGCCCTAAAATCATAGCCATTGCCCAGCATCTACTGATTGTTCCCATGTAGGAATATGAGTCCAGTTTTGCTAGAGTCTTCAAGGTTTTATGAAAGCTAGAAATTTGGATTCTTCTGTGAAACTACTCAATTTTTAATGATGGCAAGTCAAATTTACAGCAACACTACTATATTGTTCTGTATATCATTGGTCAAACCTCAGGGAGTTACTATTACATACTAGTGCCTAAGGCTGATACTATCAAATGCTGGTTAAAATTTGAAGCTACTGGAATGCCCATGCTCTGTTGGAGCAATACAAATGGTTTAATTACTTCAGAAATCCTTTTTGGCAATTTATTACAGAAGTAAACATACACCCGTGACTAATAAATTCTACTTGTAGAGGTATTTACACAGAAGAAATAAAAAAGATTTATCTTTATCTTAATAGTTAATAAAATGATTAATGTTAATAAAAAAGGAAATAGGATTACTGTATATTCATAGGCTGGACAATATAAAAATTACTGATACATTTGGAGACATGTGTGCATTTGCAAAACAAAGTGGATGAAAGAAGTATTACACAGAAGAAAGAATATATGAATAAGTGTATTTTCCGACAACAGCATTCCTCTTGAAAAAATTTCAGAACAGTGATTATTTCTTCAGATGGAAAGAATGTGAGAGAACTTTCTGGAAGTGGTAGGGCTCTATTGGCAGAGCTTAGGGTAACATAAGGGTATGTACACACCAATCAAAACCAGTAGACATAAGCTATATACATTTCTTACTGAATCCTAGCATACTGAGATGTTTAGGAAGAAGTATTCTGATGCCTGTAAGTTACTTTGAAATGTATTATGAAATAAGTATTGCTTAGATGGCTAGAGAGATAGATAAGTGATAAATGAAGTAAGCAGAGTAAAATGTTACTAGTTAGATCAAGGTGGGTATGTGAGGTTTCAATACAAACCCCACTAGCGTATAAAGCATTTAGAAATAAAGCATTGCATGCATATGCGATTCATATTTGACCTCTGGACTATAAATTGATATTGTCTCTTACATTTTTTGAAGAACCAAGGGTTAAGGATGAAGCACATCACACCAAACACACATGTTGAGACTGGAAAGCACTTTCATGACAGTGGACTTGGATTGTTCCCTGGAGCAAGTTCAGACACAGGTTCCAGGCAAGAAGGGCAGCAAGGAGGCTGCAGAAACCCCACTGGCTTCAGTAAGAAGCCAGGGCTGGGGTTTGGGACAGGCCCTGGAGGACCTGCAGAGCTGAGCAGGGCTGGTACCTGTACCTATGGGAGAGCCTCATTGCCCAGCTACAGTCACAGGAAGCCAATCAGAGGAGGAAAGGGCCACGTGGTGAAATGAACCTGCTTTGTCACATCAGCCACAGGCACAATGGAGAACTGACATGTCTCTCATCTCTCAGTATTTCTTTGTTTTGGAGCCACTGCTCTAAGAACACAGGGGCCCTGGGCTAACTGTGCAGGATAATGACTGTCGTCATGGCTGCCCTTCTCTGAAACAGAACTTCCCTAAGGCAGTGCCCGAATAAGGCACTTTAAAAAGATGCAACTGCTTTGGGTTCTGTTTCTTTTGCCTCTCGACTTTGGGAATTGGGCTGGTCCAAGGCACTGGACCACACACGATGCCTAGACTCCCTCTGCTTCACTCTTGTCTCATAACTCCAGCATTCCCTTTTGACAGGATGCTCCTGTGACACCTCGTGCCCCGTACTGGTTAGTACAGTTTTCTGGGCATGCCTGTGAGGGATTATTTAGACACACTGATTGAGATGGGAAAACTCACTTTAACTACGGATATTGCCACGCCATGGGTTGGGGTCCCAGACTGCATAAAAAGTACAAAGAGAGCTGAACAAGAGCATTCATCTCTGCTTCCTGACTGCAGAGACAATGTGACCAGCTGCCTCATGTCCTGCTACCATGCCTTTCCTACCATGATCCATGACGGACTGTATTCTTGAACCATGAGCCCACCCTTAAGGTGGTTTTGTGGTCAGGTATTTCTTGTCACTGCAACAAAACACTCCATCTCCTCACACTGGCGGAGCCTCTTGCTGTTCTTACTCTGTGGTGGGCATGCTGTCTGTTAGACCACGTTATTTTATTTGATAGCTATAATAATCCTGCAAATCAGGCTTATTTCCCCTTTCAATTGATGAGGAGAATGAGACTCAGACAGATTCAGGAGTTTGCCTGGTGTTTCTTGACCAGTGGTGGGACTCCTACTGTGGAAGGTGGCTGAGGGGACTCCAATGGGGAAGCCAGTAGAGGGTATCCAGCTCACTGGTGGTTCTGCTGAACTCCACAGATCAGATGAGCTGTCAACAACAGGTACGAGGGAGAAAGCCTAGAGACTTCACTTATACAACCCACGAGGCCAGAGGGTCCCCTCGCCCCCACATCTACTGCCCACCATTATCCAAAGTTCAACTTGCAGGAGCCCTAATCCAAATAATAGGGCTACACCTTTTATTTTGTCTTTTGCTTTCCTTAACTGAATCATAAAGGAAGATGCTCACAGAAGCAATACAGCTCTACTCAAGAAGCACTCACTGATAAGGGAGGGTGTCAGCCCTCTCAAAAGAGGATGGGCACTGCTTGTTCCAAAGCTGGGTGAGGGGGAACAGGAGGGGTTCAACTGAGACATAGGTCTTAATTTGCCAGTCCTGTGATATAACTTCTAGAGCTTTTCGGCATCTCTGATGTCATCGTCACTTAGTTAAGAAAAGTAACTCACACATAAAGCGAGAGGGATCCTCTAAATCCTGCTCCTTTTCAAATTGACCTAAAGTGTCCTTGAGAGTCTTCTACAACTTCCAGGCTGTAGCCAGTGGTTACTGAGTCCCACAGGACACAAACACAGACGCTGAGATGACATGTATCAAGGGGCTCACCAGGGGACTGCTGAGTTTTTCTTAAATAAGAGTTAAATCTTGCAGGCCAGTGTGATAGTGCACACCTGTAATCCTCACACCCAGGGGCTCAGGGCCAGCCTGAGCTACGTGCGACCTCTCTTAAAGAAAAAGGTGTCAGTCCCACACATTCCCAAGGCTCCTGCGGGGTTTTATATGTCACTGTTGCCTGCCCATATCATGGTCCTGATTTAAAACCATTCACCCTACCAGGGTGAATGACTGGCTTGAGTAAATACAAACTCAAGTTAATATAAACCTGAGTGCTGACACTGAATGAGAGATATTAAAGAGTGACTGTGGCACTCAGAACAACTCTCAAGCTTTTTTATTTTTCTTTTCTTTTTTTTTGGGGGGGGGATTTGAGACAGGGTTTCCCTGTATTACTTTGGATCCTGTACTGGAACTAGCTCTTGTAGACCACGCTGGCCTTGAACTCACAGAGATCTGCCTGCCTCTGCTTCCCGAGTGCTGGGATTAAAGGCGTGGGCCACCACTGCCCGGCTACAACTCTCAATCTTCACAGGCCTCACTCTGTCAAGTGGTGGCAGCTACATAGTCAGTCCTGTGCTAGGACTCCTCAAAATACTCCTTTCTGCAAACCATCTCACTCCTGGCTATGAGAACTAAGCCTTCTAAAGATCATTATGCAAACTTGGGGGAAAGATTACATATTAAGCCATTGCTGTGGAGAAACGGTAGAAGGGGCGAGGCAGAAGACCCTGAGTTTAAAGCCTTGCCTCCTTACACTGAGTTCTTTCACCTAATCACAGCCAACTGATGTAATCTTTCTGAAACTTAGAATTCTCTTTATTTGGTTCTGATCTCACTAGAGAGCCCTGGTTGGCATAGTACTTCCTATGTAGAACATGTCAGCCTTGAACTTGTAGCAATTCTTGCCCCTGCATCCCAAGTGCTGGTATTACAGGTGTATACCACCATGTTTAGGACAACAAACATAATTTTTTTTTTCAAGAAAAGGATTCATGTATCCCATGCTGGTCTCAAACCCAGTGTGGGCAGTATCACAATGACAAGTTCTAGTAAATAGAAGGAATGCATTTTTATCTTCTTTTATAAATGGAATATATAAAACTAATCTGGTCCTCCCCTGCTTCAACATCTCATCAATACAGCCTTGCTAACAAGAACCAGATGTCTGGAAGTACAGTGGCTATTAAATGTGATTGATAGCCAGATAGCCTCTTTTTTGGTTAAGGTAACTGATGCACAGAAGGGTAAGCTAATTTGACTGAGATCACAGAAGTAGCAAATGGCAAGTTGAGTTTAGACTTGACCTAGTGTAGTCTCATTTGGTGCTGTGAAGAGCAGGTCTCCTGTGTTCATCTTCCATCCCTATAATAAATATCCCATAGGATCAACTTATAAAGAGAAAAGGTTTGCTTTGGCTCACAGAATTAGAGGGTTCACATCCATAATCATTTGGCCATTGCCTTGGGCCCATAGT